ACATATATATATATATATATATACACATACATACGTGGATGCAAACATACCATAACACGCATCTTCCGGCATATACCTCTTGTTTAATTCTTAGCCAAATAGTTATAGTATAAGAATCAAAAAGCTGTGATCAACTTTACGTGCGGGGACTTTTCCTTGGTGGAATAGTAATATGTTTGCAAATAATAGTATTTTATTATACAAGTTTAATGGATCCAAATAACATGTTTGCAATAATACTATTGATATATGTCATGTATGACATAATAATATGCAGAAGTTTGTTTCAAACACCACATTCAAAATGACATTGACATAAAGACCAACTAGGTAAAGGTGCGTCAGAAAAAATTTGTGTGATTTCCTGTCTTGAATAACTTCAATTTTCTGTTAAACTTAAGTTGATACCACAAGTGCATTAATTTTCATTACAAGTTAACTCAATTTTAACTTTTCCCACTTAAACTTGTTTACACTAACAGGTTTAAAGCATCAATGGAAGATTGGAATGAAGAGTATGTGGAAGATCGAAATGAAGAATCTACCTTAATTTCTATTTTACAAGAGGATATGAATGAGGCTAAAGATGTCAGTGCATTAATTAGTGAGTATGCAATCAAATATTTATGTAAAGAGCCATGTAGAAGTAGTGATCAAACTGGTCATTCATGGGTACAAGACATTTTGCAAGGACATCCCATTCGTTGTTATGAGATGTTTCGAATGGAAAAACACGTATTTAATCAACTTTGTTTTGAATTAGTTGAATGTGGCTTAAAAGCAACTAAACAAATGGGAGTTCAAGAAATGGTAGCAATGTTTTTAAACATGGTTGGTCATGGAGTAGGTAATAGGATGATACAAGAAAGGTTTCAACACTCAGGAGAGACAGTAAGTAGGCATTTCCACAAGGTACTAGTTGCTTGTCTTAACCTAGCCTTTGAATACATCAAGCCACAAGATTATAGGTTAAGCCATGTCCATACAAAAATTCAAAAGGATCGACGATATTGGCCATTTTTTAAAAATGCTATAGGAGAATTTGATGTTACTAATATCCCTGTTTTATTTATTCCTAGTGACCAACCTAAATTTATTGGAAGAAAAGGATATCCAACACAAAATGTGATGGCAGTTTGTGATTGGGACATGTGCTTTATATTTGCATTACCAAGATGGGAAGGCACCGCACATGATGCGTGAGTATTTAAGAATGCCCTCACAACTCCAACCATGAATTTCCCACATCCACCTTCAGGTATATGTTTCTTGTAATTATTATTTATTTTATTTACATTAAAATTACAATTTACATGACAACAATTCTATTTTTTATTAGGTAAATATTACTTGGTGGATTCTGGTTATCCAACACCAATAGGATATGTTGGTCCATATAAATGTGAACGGTACCACCTTCCTGATTTCAGGCGCTTATTTAGATTTGAAAATTACAATGAGGTGTTCAATTATTACCATTCAAGCTTAAGATTCACAATTGAAAGAACGTTTGGCGTATGGAAAAATAGGTTTGCAATTTTACGTCGTATGCTGGCGGTCGTGTCCACCCCTCATTTAGCTATGAAGTTCCCGACCGAGTCAGGACGCGTTATCACGGTCCATGCCGATCAGAAGACTGCGCGAGAATGCTACTTTGCCAGCCTGCGCTTACCAAGAGTGAATGACGAAGCGCCTAAGGAGCCGAGAGGCGTTCACTCGGTGTCACAGCAATCGGCCATGGACCTCGACCCCCAGATCGATCAGGAAGAGAGGGTAGAACCTATTGAAGACAAGCAATCGGTTCAAGTGGGAAAGCTGGAATCCCAAGTTACTTACATAGGGGCCAACCTATCTGAACAAGAACGATTGATTATTAGCCAAGTGATCCTCGAAAACAATGATTTATTTGCTTGGCACCCATTCGACATGCCTGGCATCGATCCTAATTTTCTCTTCCACAAGTTATCAATAAGCAAGGAAGCAAGGCCGATCGCTCAACGACGCCGGAAAGCCGGAGAAGAAAGGAAGGCAGCGATTGAGGCTGAGGTCGGCAAGCTGTTAGATGCTCGGTTCATCCGAGAGGTACATTATACAACCTAGTTGGCCAACGTAGTCATGGTAAAGAAGCCGAATGGGAAGTGGCGCATGTGCACCGACTACACCAACTTAAACAAAGCTTGCCCGAAGGACGCCTACCCCCTACCAAATATTGATCGGCTTGTGGATGGGGCATCTGGTCACAAATTTTTGTCATTTCTGTATGCGTACTCCGGATACAATCAAATCTGTATGCACCCCCAAGACGAAGAGAAAACTGCGTTCATCACCGAGACGGCCAATTACTGCTATCGGGTGATGCCC